GGTCCGCCACTTGTTCAGGGAAAGCCCCTGGCGGGCCGGGCCGGTTTATTTACCTGCCGCGTCCGCAGGTTCGGCCGATCGCGGCTCCCACTGGCCGCGGTTCTCTGTTCCAGGCCAATGGGGGCTGCGGGAAGGGCGGTCAGCACATACCTTGGCCCGTGCCGATTCTGAAGTACTTAAAAAAAAAAAAAAGTGCTATTACTTTTTGAATCTTTAGCTAGCTGTTTAACTTGAGCCTCTATTATGGTGTCTTTAAAAGGTTTCCATGCAGCTTTCAGGGATTTACTTCTGGTGCTGTACCTTTTAGTTTGTTTAACTAACCTCCTCATTTTTGTGTAGTTCCCCTTTTTGAAATTAAATGCTACAGTGTTAGGTCACTGTGGTGTTTACCCCACCACAGGGATGTTAAATTTAATTATACTATGGTCATTATTACCAAGCAGTCCAGCTGTGTTCACCTCTTGGACCAGATCCTGTGTTCCAGTTAGGACTAAATCAAGAATTGCTTGTGGGTTCCAAGACTAGCTGCTCCAAGAAGCAGTCATTTAAGGTGTCAAGAAATTTTAACTCTGCATCCCTTCCTGAGGTGACGTACCCAGTCAATATGTGGATAGTTGAAATCTCCCATTATTGTTGAGTTTATTTTAATAGCCTCTCTAATCTCCCTGAGCATTTCACAGTCATTATCACCATCCTGGTCAGGTGGTCGGTAATATAGCCCTACTGCTAATTCTTATGAGAGCATGGAATAACTATCCATAGAACTTCTGTGGTACAGTTTGATTCATTTAAGATTTTTACTTCATTTGATTCTATGCTTTCTTTCACATACAGTGCCACTTCCCCACCAGCATGACTTGTTTTGTCCTTCTGATATATTTTGTACCCTGGTATTACTGTGTCCCATTGATTATCCTCATTGCACCAAGTTTCTGTGATGCCTATTGTATCAATATCCTCATTTAATACGAGATACTCTAGTTCACCCATTTTATTTAGACTTCTAGCATTGGAATATAAGCACTTTAAAAGCTTGTCACTTTTTAGCTGTCTCCCATTACATGCTGTAATTGAATAAACCTTTTTTTACATCTGTTTCTCATCAGATTCTACCCGTATTTTATCTTCCATCCTCTCCTGCTTACTAGGACATAGAGAATCTCCATTAATAGATTCTCCCCAAGTGACGTCTCTGTCTGAACCGCGTGCTCCTCCACACCTATCGGCTTTCCCCCAGACCTTAGCAATCTAGACCAATTCTAGCCCATAATGAAACATATTGCCCATATTACATCTATTAGTGGTTACTAAATGTTGCTTTATATTTAAGAGTGTAATTCTTGGGTGCAGCCATGCAGGAAACTAAAATCTCACAGGGAAGAGTCAGAAATTCTTATGTCAATGAGTGCAACATTTGAAATTTTAGTTAGCTAAAATGTGTAAAAGTTCCCCAATGAGCAGGCATATGATGAGACCCATGTGTGTAGAAGAGTTTCAGATTAGTTTACTGACATTAGTTTGTGGAAATAAAAAGGTTGTTTTTGGTCAGACTCATGCCACAATTTGGGGACTGTTCAGCCATCAGCAATTCACATGAAAGTTGCAGCATCTGAGCGTAACTCCATTTTGCATAGAGATGGCTGTTAGCCATTTAACCACAGAGTGGTATTCCACTTTGTGGTGATAGGGGTGTGTGTGTGTGTATATCATGGATCAGAAAATACTGATTTACTGTAGGATTCTTTATAGGCATCTGTTGCTGTGGTACTTGGCTGCGTGTCTTCAAAATAAATACATCACACACTAATTTAAATTGCCTGGAAGATGTAACATTAAGCAAATGCTTAACCAAATAGATGTCATACACCATGTTCGGAAGGCCAACAAACTCAAGTTCTGGAAGGTGGCTGGGGGAGTGGGTTCCACAGCCAGGTATTTGCCACAGAAAACTCCCCCCCTTCTGGCCATCCACCATCCACATCTAAAGACTGTTGATAAATGTGGTGTCAGCCGTTATCTGTAAGGTAGCTAGGTCCCTGATTATATAGACCTCTACAGATTAGTACCAATAACTTGAATTGCATTGGGAAAGAGATGGGAAGCCCATGCAGTTTGCAGAGCGTAGGTCTAATGTGCTCACTCTCCGTTTCACTGATTAGATGGACCACTGCATTCTGTACTGGCTGAAGCTTCAATGGGTGTTAGGCCTCGTCCATAGAGCACATTGTAGGGTACCAACCTAGAGGCAGGAAGGTCCTAGAAAGATGTGGTACAGTTAGCGTTATCAAGTCACTACACTTCCCTGAGAAGCCAAGAACAGACAGGTCAAAAATTTTTTGAAAACGGCAACTTCTTAGACAAGGGATTGAGCAGACACAGCCCCCACCAATTCTTGACACTGATTCCCCTCCCAGTCAGACTCACCTCCATCTTTACAGGATTGTGCTTCAGTCGTGTCAGTCTCCTCCAGATCCCTGTCTCAACCAGGCACAGGGAAAGCAAAGAACCTGTGCCATCAGACTCTGACATAAAGGAGCCAAAGAGGTGTAGTGTAGTGTATGGATGGCACTGTATTCATATTCAGCTGGTAGAGTGACAAAATGAAACCTCTGAAAAACCACACGTGAGAATATGGATGGATGAGAAGTGACTCTTTGAGACCACCTAGACTGTAAGGAATGAAGCCACTGTCCCCATCTACCTTGCCAGATGCTCCAAGCTTGTCAGCAATTTGTTCAGTATAATTTGGCCAGCTATATCAAAGGCTGTTGACAGATCTAATCAAATCAACTTAGACATTTAACCTTTTAAAATTGACCCCTTCACGAACGTGGTGGGATCCTTTCCAAATTAGAATATCACAATAATACCTAAAACTAGAGTAGAGACTGCTATCCTCAGTTGGGGCTTATAGGTGCTACTGGCTTGGAATACAAAAAATAACCAATAGTAAGTACAAAAACAGCATTATTATTATAAAATGTAATAGAAAAGAGTGATTTATAGTGTTTTCAGTGGATTAGTGGAAGCGTTTTGATTATTAATTATCTAGCTTTTGTACCTCAGTTAAAACAACACCATAGAAGAGAATGTATGTCGGATACTGCTTTCTTACTCATGAGGTGAACTTTTATAACGTGAAGTCACAACCTTAGATCTATTTTTTTTCCCCTTTGACAGAAAGATTTCGAGATTTACTGCTTCTCCATTCAAGTCAGGACACAGAGATTCTACCCAACTTTCAGCAAAGGAATTACCCCAAGTAAGTAAATTGCCTCCTCAGGAGAACCAGTCTTTATTAATTCATAGTGAGGGAGAGAAGCATTTATAGCACTATAAATAAACTCCTAAGGCAGAGCTGTCAGGGAGCCTCCCATAGAATAAGCCTAGTGCTCTTCACGGCTGTGTCAGGAAGAAACAGATATATCTTGCAAGTGCACCCAGCTGTCACAGAGGAGTCAGTGGCAGAGTGTGGATGATAAGCTGCACGGATCAGTGTCTGGTGGAGCTTCATTTCACTTGACATTGTGTGTCGACATAGGCAGATGTTTTGTCACACTAATCCCTGCTCTTGTCTTATGGGATTCCATCATTTGTGCTGACAGACTCATTTGGATTTTAACAAGCTATCCTATGGAATCATGCGAATGCTAAAAACAGTTTGACTGCCCTTGTTAGGGACGTGTGGGCAGGCAAGCCAAAGGAACAGCCGTGCATGCTAGGGAGCAATCAGTACAGCATCCCCTCATGTCATGCTTCTCTATTATAAAAGCAATGCCATAAGTGATGTGGGGGAGTTAAGAGATTACCCCCATTAGAAAGTTTGTCTTTCAGCCTATAAATCCACTCAAAGGTTTTAATGTGCCGTATCTCCTTTAACATTGCTCCTGACAAAAATCTCATACGGTGCAATAATATGTTATTTTATTGAGTGTCTTGAACAATAATGATTGATTTAGTTGGGGTTGGTCCTGCTTTGAGCAGGGGGTTGGACTAGCTGACCTCCTGGGGGTCTCTTCCAACCCTAATCTTCTAGGAGTCTATGATTCTAATGCTATTCCTACAAAGCTAAAGAAAAGCAGAGTTAAATAATAGATAACATTTTTGCCGACTTAATTAAAACAAAGAGCAAAAAGAGAAATTGAGTCACATGAAAAAGGAAGGAAAGCGCTTTCAGCAGAGTCAGTGAGGTGGAAAGACATGGGAAGGCTGTTCCGGATGGCAGGAGCTGCGGAAGTGAAGGTTCTCTCCTGAGCCGTGCCCAGATTGCGTGGAGGAATGGCGAGAAGGCCAGCGTTAGATGAACAGCGGGAGCAGGGTTGGGGGGGAGAGGTATGTGAGAACGGCTGAAGCAAGTCCAAGAGCAGTTTTGAAAACAAATGGGTAATTTTTGAACTGATTCCTGAAATGAATGGGAAGCTGTTTGCTGTGAGAATGTAACTCTTGTGTACTGTAAATTAAGATTTAAGGCTTAATTTCAAAATGGGATTAAAGTTCACTATGGAATTTTAATGCGTGGCAGCAGGATCCACATGGGTAGTTAATGTGTGGCAGGCTAGTGCAAGGTAGATTTACACCTAGCTTGCTGTGCACTAACAGTTTGTATAGGCAAGCCCTTATTTTTCTAGAACATGCAATAATTAAAGAGTTAGATGTTCATCACCTGCTGAAAACAAAGCATGTCCCATGGGCACAAAAAACTTAAAATACCTAGGGTAAAATCACGGCTCCACTGAAGTTGATGGAAAGTCAGTGCCATTGACTTTCTGAAAGCCAGGATTTCATTGCCAAAATCTACCTGTTTTGTGGGTTTGTACTGCAGACCATCATCAGAGTATCTGAGTGCCTTCCATGTAAAATAGATGGACATAGCAATATTCCTAGTAACCTTTATGGAGGCTCTGGCTGTGCTCCCTTTTTGTAGTATAGACACTGTTTGGGCTATGGTCAGTTTTTAGCTTTGGTTTGTTGCTTCGTTGCACTCTTGAAAGTTTTTTGCCCATAGTTATCTTTGCCTTGCCCTTCCCTTTTTGGATTTCACAGGCACATTCTCTTCCCCAGTGTAATTTGCTTGGTTCTAATGATAACAGTGATAACACCTGCGGACTGATTCAATTATGTTTGTATTCTATAAGGAATTATGCACTGAGGAATAAACAAAGACATAAGTGTTTTTATTTTTTGCAGTCAAGGTCTTTGACTATGTAACTGTGTAAAAACAGTAAGATTTATGGCTGGTATTCCTGAAGGTACAGTGTACTTGTACTGTAACTAATGACTAGGTCTGCGGAGATGCTGAGCATCTGCAGTTCTTTGCTGAAGTCAGTGAGAACTGCAGGTCCTAAGCCTCTCTGAAAATCATACAGTAAATCCTTTTCACCAGAATCTCATGCTGTTTATATTACTGAGCTGTAATGCTGTTTTAAATTGTAATGTTCCTGCATTATAGTACAACAATATGATTGGCTGAACATGTACCATTGCTTGACAAGAATGACTGATCCTAACACATGGAATCAGCCAGGGTTTGGCAGCTAATTTAAAAAAAAAATCTTTACAGATGTTTTCATAAGTAATTGACTGCCGCTTATAATGTCATTAATCAGTACAAAATTGTTTGCTTGTTACCGACATGAGTCATTGGCTGCAGTTCATTTACAAACTGGTTGGTGACTATTGATGCATCCTGATTTTTCTGGGAGATCTGGTAGAAGCATATGTTTGAGCTCAGCAATATGGGGAACCTAGTCAGCCTCATAATATAGGCCGTACCCTCATTCCCCTTTCACCTTTTTCCTATTCTGTGCCGATTTCCATTGTATGAATAGTTAATGGAAGTTGAGTCCATATAAAGCCAGATCCTGTAAATCAGCACCGCTGCATTGACTTCAGTTGAACAACACTTCTTTGCATTAGCTGAGGATCTGGCCCATAAATTCATCTTAGTAATATGAAGGCATCATGGGATCTAGGCAGTTTGCTGAGCTTATAGAGAGAGAGCCTGGAAACAAGGCAGGGTAGAATAGAGGAAAAATTGTGAATAGCTTGGCTAAGTAATGTCCAGTGGTGGGAGGGTGAACATGAGACCAGCCAAAAAAATATTTGATGGGTGTAAACACCAAAGAAAGAGAATGGGAACTAAAGATCCCTAGCACCTCTCACTAGGTCCTTGGTACATCATACTCTCAGCTTCTCACTTTACTAATTTAATGAGTTTATGAATGCTGAGCTTGTCGAGTGACCTGTCTGTGCCTGCTGTCTGTGGTAGTGAAAAAGGAGAAGAGAGAAAGGAGGGTTGGCCATCTGTTCCAGATTTTACTAAGATTCATAGTTATTTATTATAGTAGTGCATACGGTCCAACCAAGAATGTTGTCCCATTGTGCTGGGGGATAGCTCAGTGGTTTGAGCATTGGCTCACTAAATGTAGGGTTGCAAGCTCAATCCTTGAGGGGGCCATTTAGGGATCTGGGGCAAAATCCATCAGGGACAGTACTTGGTCCTGCTGCAAAGGCAGGGTACTGGATTCAAGGTCCTTTCCAGTTCTATGAGATAGGTATATCTCCATATATTATATTATATCACTACCCATTGAGCCCAATGATCTATCCAGCTTTCTATCCACCTATAGAAATACCTAGGACCTGTTCCTCCACTCTCACTAGTGTATATCAGGAGTAACTCCATCTTCAAAGAGTACTACATATGTGCAAATTCAGGACCTTTAAGTTCACACCTGCAGTGTCCACACTGGGAAGTTACAGTGCACAGTGCTGTTGACACCCCCTTAGTCTGAACTTAGGCTCCTAACTCACTTAGCTGCTTTTGAAAATGTTGCCCTTAGCATAGTCTTGTAAGAGCACACCTCAAGTTGATAATGAGATCTGACTTGACTCAATATCCTGCCTAGCTTATGAGATATCCTCCTTTTACACATGAATCCACAAATGAGGCAAGAGTGAACAGCAGCAGTGCTGACACTAACTATAAAAAATTCTTCTTGAAGAAGACAAAATTATGTTCATTAATCAAGCTGTTGATTCTGACACTTGGACAATTCTTAGAGAACATCCAGCTTAGTTCTAAACATCCTGGGCCTGATTGTCCTCTCACTTACACCCATATAATTTCCTATTGACTTTATTGTAGTTACTGCTGATGTGCCCTGCTATGAGTGAGAGGAGAATCAGCATTCATGTAATCATCTCACATTGCCTAATGGCAAACTTCTGAAAGGGGCCGAATTAGATGCTTGTCAAAGGTAAAAAGAAAATGATCAGGGGGAAAAAGATAAAAGCTGAGAGTCACTACATTTGAATAGGGAATTATGTTAAGTTAAGCATGCTAGAAAGGAGGTAATACTGGACAGAACTGTGCTAATTAGAGACATACCAAGCCCTTGTATAAAATATTCTCAGCACTATCCACTTCTAACAAGTTTCTCCCTACTTAAAAGTTACCTGAAAAGAAATAATTAAACTACATTTGTGGCCCTTTTGCATAAGGTCTGATACTTTAAAACATTGTAAGTTGTGTTTTTCTCTATTTTTTTTTTTAACCATAGAAATACCAGTAATGTCAAGTCTTATTTTCCCTGTCTTGGAAGGAAACTTCTTGGATGATTTGTAGATTTTTAAGGCTATAAGGACCATTATGATGATTTAATCTGACCTGCTACATAACACAGGTCATATAGCCTCACCTGGTAATTTCTGCTTCAAGCCCATTACTTGTTTGACCTAGAGCATATATTTTAGAAAGATATTCAGTCTAATTTTAAAGACTTCAAGTGATATAAAATTCACCACCTCTGTAGGTAACATTTTAGGTATCAGCAGCTCCTAGAGTGACCAGATGGCCCAGTTTTATAGGGACAGTCCCAATTTTTGGGTCTTTTTCTTATATAGGCTCCTATTAACCCCCACCCCGTCCCAATTTTTCACATTTGCTGTCTGGTCACCCTAGCACTGACATTGCTTCAACCTGGAGAGGGCAACAGGCCCAGCTGAGGGCAGTTATACACATTCTGTTGGGGGAGTGTGAGCACCTGGGTGGCAATCACTGGGATAACAAGGTAACTGGGGTAGAATATAAGGGGAAGAAACAGAAGGCAAGGGTGCAGCTTAAAGGGTGGGCCTGGGCTGGGCTGGGCTGGGCTGTGGGGAGGGAGGGAAACATACCCTTGCATTGTATGGCATTACTGTGTAAGAGAGGAATAAATATTCATCAACAGTCTGGTGTGTGATTGTGAAACTACCTGACCT